GAGAAGGGTTGTAGAGTCTTCCCTAAAACCGCTCAAAAGCCCGAAATAATTGCCAAACCGATCGGTGCGAGAGTTCGGCTAAAATAGTTGTTTGAAATGAAATCGCACTGGCAAAGCAACCCTCGGAATATTTCGAGGAAGAAGAAACGGTCTCGGTTTTCGAAAGAAGACAAATGTCAACAAAAAAAATAGCCTCTGAAACAGCCCATCCCTTTTACTCCACGGAAGGGCTGCAGCTCGAAGCCCAGGCTTCCAGCGCCGACCGCCTGTTCGCTGCTTATCACCTTAAATCTCCCTTCGGTTAAAAGCTTTCCCTGCGTTCATTTGGGTAAATAAAGGGAGGATGGAAAGAGAGGCATTCAACAACTCCTCTGGGTGTCCAGGCGTCTACAAGCAGCGGAGAAATGGATCCACGTAGTCTCAAATGTTCTTTTGATTGCCTTGTTTACCGAAGCGACCCGTCGTTAAACAAACACGAACGCAAGTCATTTAGCGAAGGTATGGATTAAAACAAAAAAAAAAAAAAAGAAAGAAAGAAAAGGGGAAAAAAAAAAGCGCGCACCCCTCCCCGCCCCCCGCCACGTTGTAAAGCGATCGCTGCTACGGGGGAAGGTGATCCTGAGTTTTCAAAAATCCTCCCTGCGTGTTACTGCCATCAGGTGTAACGTGGGTTTGGGGGAGAAGAAAAAAAAACCATCTTCCTTCTGGTTTTCATTTGAGGTAATTCTCTTGCTAAACGGCACTGACGTCTCTTCGAGGGTATTTAGACATATGGGCAACGACTGGACTAACACGGTCAGGTAGCTCACGAGTTATTTGTCAACATGAGCCGCAGAGAACGTCTTTTATAACACCCTCGGTTTGGGGAAAATAAATAAATCAGTCGGATACACTGCTGCTCATTTATGCCAGGGAAACACGAGCATCCACCTTACCAGCCCCACACAGCCCCAGCGAGGACAGCAGCTCACAGAGAATCCGCTTTCCCGGTGTGCCGGGACGCGGCTCCTTCCCCGCGGCGGCAGCCCGGGTGGCTGTCAGCAGCCGCCCCGGTTCCCCCCGTGGCCGGGGCCCGGGGGCTCGGGCTCGAGACGAGCCCCTGTGTAGATTTTTAATGTATAAATGCTAGGGTAGATAAAGAACAAGATGTGACAGGGCCAGCGTGCGAAAGGCGATTATTCAGCTTCCCAGGTCGTGCCAACCATGGACAAAGTCACCGCGTTACGGAGTGACTAGCGCGGGGTCAGCACGCTAGGGACATTTCCCGGCA